ATGCTGCCAGACCTGCTGAGCTTTTCCAGCAACTTGTGTTTTGGTCAATGTACATCAGTACCAGTTTGTACCAAAGCCAGAACTGAGCACATTAAAATGTTAACTACTGACCTTGCAAAGTAAAATAATCAGAAGCAAATCTCTAGAAAAGATTGTTCCCAAGTCCACAAAAATAATTCTTTGCTCAAATGAGATCAAAATTAATCAGGGGCCCTTCAGCTCCTTGGTGTAAATTAGCCATATTTGATGCGTGACAATACAAAAAAGCATTTGGTTAGCTTCATTCATTTGCAGGACAAACGAAGTATGGTTTGCTGGAAAGCTCAGTCGCTCTTCCAAAATGGATAATCAAACAGAAAAAGACTTTAACACCAACGTTGCAAGAATTATTTTATTCATTCATGGGATAAGCATGTTGTTGCAGTCATATGCACTGATTTGAGAGTTGGTTACAAATCTACATTAAAACAATCATTATGAGACTTATGTACCTTGACAGTATATCGCAATTCATGTTTCTTAAACAGTTGTACATAATCCAGGGGAGACTTAGTCCAACATGAAAATGCAGTTTTACAGTGAAACAAACAGAGAAGTGATGGGGTGCATTTGGAAGCTGCCTTAATATGGAAAAACAGAAAGATTGGAAACAAAGAACTGGATAAGCTTAGCAGGTCTGGCAGCATCTGCGGAGAGAAATTAGTTAACGTTTCGGGTCAAGGGACCCTTCCTCAGTACTAACCGGAAATGTTAACACTGAACTCTCACCACAGGTGCTGCCAGACATTGAGCTTATCCAGCAATTTGTGTTTTTGTTTCTGATTTACAGCATCTGCAATTCTTTCAGTTATTAAAAAATTAAGATTGTTTGAAGAAAACCTACATTGTAGCATGTACTTCAAAATTAGAGTTCTCAACCACTGCAGGGATAAAATAAACTTGTTCCTATGAAGTAGTATTATTCTTCAACCAATTATGGAGACTTCCAGATCTATTGACCGACAAACAAATAAAATGCATAATCTTCCTACTGCAGATTTCATTTCACCCAATGCATTCAAGAGTAACATATATCATGACAAGCATTTAGCCTTCTGATTTTTAGTAACGACTTCTTGAAATTCGCATTTTGTGCCAGATTTAAATGGAATAAAATCAGGAAAGAGCAATGCACCTTGAAGTTGCTTTCCCTAATCGTCCAAAATTCTTGGACATTCATTTGTTTTATTTGCACTTCTTGTGTTATAACCTTGATTTTACAGTTTTTTTTTTAGAAGCAAGGTCTGTTTAGATTATTTGCCTCAATCAAGTGTGTGCTGTAAATTCAGGTACTTTGCATCAAATAAGATAGAAGGCTAATCATAACATGTCTACTGCACCCAACTCTCAACATCTTAATCTTCCTGTGGATGCTAGAGAAAAGGTGCTGCAGAGGCAACTAATGACGTAATTCAACTCCTTTGGTGGATTCCACATTTTAAGGAGAGTTACAAACATCTAACACAAGGATGCACACTAGTGCCCCTTGAGCATATTCTGCCATTCAAGCAGATCAGCCATGATCTGATTGCTCCACAATTCCACCCTTCCAAATAACCTCAGATCCTTGCTCGTCAAGAATCTAGCTACTTCTGCCTTAAGAACATAGTTCAGTCTTTTACTTCAGAAATTTTTGTTTCACTTGTGCTATTTTCACCCCTTTAACAATGCAGGATTTTAACAAATATTCTTTTTAAAATCCATCTTCAACAAAATAACGACAGAAAAATCAAACCGTCAGCAGTTATTATTCTATGTTAAGCACTAGGAACCTCTCCAGAACAAAGACAGACAATCCAGTTAAGAGTTCAACTATTAATTTGCATGACAGCCAAGGCTTAGAATGACCAATGCCCCCTCTCAACTTACAAGTGCATTGATATATTGTTGGGGTGTAACAAAAAGGCTCTCCTGCATTTATGAATGGTCATCTTGCTGTTTTCCTGCTAATTTCCTCCCACCGTATTGCCCTTTGAGGGACTTTTCAATGGGTGTCAGTCACTCTCTGGTACCACAGCTATGTCAGGGTTTCTGATGCCCAAGCCTGCACAATTATTTGACTGCATGAATGTTCACAGCTGAGCCAGCTGCCATTGTCTCCTGACATGCACGTTATGCAAGTGTTAACAAATAGGAAACAAAAGCCAATATTTTGGACAATTTTTTTTACCCAATTCATGGATACAAAAGGTCAATTCTAGAATGTAAAACAATCCAAGTGAGAGCACATGTAGCATGGATAAATGAGAACCTCAAACCTCTAAACCATCTGCTAGTTTCACACTGCCTACGATACTTTGATTCATCGAATAATAAGAAGCTCTAATGCAGCTATGTCAGTTTATTGCTTTGTTGACTAAAGAGTCCAAGATAAAAATCATTAAAAGACAAAATAAATTTATCCCAAGAACAAAAACAAGGGATGTTTTATGAAGGAAAATCAACAGGGACAAATGCAAGTAAAGCAACTTTGGAGCCCATATTCTGACTTTTTAAAATGTGGACAGTTATAAACAACAGGGGGACGGCTTACTTACTAAAGAACAAGAGTTGTGACAGCTTTTTCATTAATTGCATTAATGGCAGCACAAAAAGATCCTTTCGTTTTGAACTTGGAAGCAAATTGGTCTAAAGGCAATTAGTGAAATTTGAAAGTTTGTACAACCCATTTATTTCACTCATATCAAAAAGAAACTAACAGAAGGATAATGAATCTCAAGATCAGTTTCAGGGCAGCCATAGAAAGGTTATACCATAATCAAGATGGGTCGAGTTTAGGAAGGTCCTCTGGTTTCAATTTATACAGATGTTTTTTGCCCAGAGTGTTAGTTGCCATTTGGGCTCATTCATTGAAAGAAAAGGACAACAGTGGTTAGCACTGCTGCCTCAGTACCAGGGACCCGGGTTCAACTCTGCCTTGGGCGATACTGAGTGCAGTTTGTATGATCACCCTGTGTCTGCATGGGTTTCCACAAGGTGCTCTGGTTTCCTCGCACAGTCCAAAGATGTGGTGGATGGCAATGTTTAAAAACTGCCCTGTAGTATCCAGGGACAAATAGGTGGATTAGCCATTGCAGGATTTGAGATTTAGGATAGGTGAGTGGGCCTGGGTGGGATGCTCTTCAGAGGGTCATTTGGTCCAAAGGATTTGCAATGGTCTCCAACTGCATTGTAGCAATTCTATGAACTTCTGAGATTGTCTGATGACAGACAAAATGGCCAAATTAAAATGACAGTGCAGATTTACACAACTGTCAGCAGAGATGATGCCTCACCATTCAAAGAAAATGCAATGCAGGCTAAATCCCAATTTGAATTTTGAGAGGAAACAGAAATTTGAATATCACCTAGTTTGAAATGGGTGAAATAATCTACCATATTCAGTCAGTCTTGTGGCAAAGAAAAGCAAAGCAGATAAACTTGGAAAGATAGGAAAAGTACAGTAACTAGAACAAGGAACTGAGGCATCTTCAGAGAATAAACGAAAAATTTACCTCCAGAGATAGTAGTCCACGCAGAAGTTTTGGACTTCAGATTCATTATCTCTTATATTTGTTTTTTTTTTTAAAATCTGAAGTAAATGGGTTTTACAACCTTTCAAATTTCACTAATTGCTTTTAGAACAATTTACTAGAGGTGAGAACAACCCTTTAAAATTGAAGTAACTTTAAGAGAATTTTTGAAGCAAATGAGAATTAAATCTGAGCACATAACCTCTTTATAACTCATAACAATCATTTTACTCATTTACAAGTGAACTCGTGTAATTCTGTTCCTTAAATCAAGATAGTAAAAGGAATCTATTACGTTAATGCTTCCTAACAGAATGTAAAACCCAATATCTTGCAAGGGAGTATTACCTTTCTGACAGCCAGCTTCTTGGTGATGTGTAAAGTAAAACCATTATCACAGGATCATTTTCATACAATTTTGCAAATAACCCCAAACGTCAGGCAAGATCAGAAAGGGGTCCTTCATTTTATTTTCCATGCTACTTGTATGAAACAAACAGTAATAAAAAGTGTGCATTCTCCCACGGTGAGCACTACAATTCTCCCTCATTATACTTTCCCTTAAAAGTCAACAACTCAGACTGCATTGGTGTCAGATTCACTGACAGCCCTGTTACTTCATTCAAATAAGAATCAATTACACAAGTCCAGTCAGTGAATATCAATTGGCACTACAGCCAAATCCCATCCACAAAATGGGAACATCTAGCATTGTCACAGGATTAAGCAGTCAGAAACAGTAACACTAGCAAATTGTGCCTCCCTCTAACTCGGTATCCTCAAAATCTACTGTAATTTCCTCACTGTTGTATTGACTAATATTTGTTAACAGTGGAAACCAAGGACAAATGCAGGGGTTTCTTGGTCTGAATGGCTGATCAAACAACATTTTGACATTTACCATACAAAGTAAGGCAGTCAAAGACTTGCCACACAATTAGGATATATATATCATAGTTAACAGGATTAGGAAATTGGTAGGTAAACAAATCTTTCACCGTAAAGGTTAAAGCTTTTCTGAAGCAATAAATCTAGAAATTATATCACAATTTGAGGCGGGCTAAAGAGAGAATTTACCCTTACAAACCAGATAGTTAACAACCAGAAATTAAGCCACAAAAGACAGGATAAGTCTCTCATTCAAATTCCTGCTTATCTTTGGTTAGCTGACCTCAACCAAAGCATCAGTGAGGGCGGTACAAATGGTCAACAAGCTCCTTTGTTATGGATGCCAAGATTCCCTGTACAGGTCTGCATTTAAGAAAAAAATCAGTCCGTGATATCATCTGTATTGAACAAGCCTAGGTTCATATATTCAGAATGGCTACTTGAGGTAAGGAACTGAAAATTTCACAAAATTACTCAAACTGCACCCAGCATGGGGCCTTCAAGAGTCCAAAGACATGACAACAAAAAGAGGCAACACACTGTGGAGCCAGAGGAACACAGCAGGCCAGGCAGCAGAGGAGCCGTAAAGTTGACGTTTCAGATGAGGACTCTTCTTCAGGAATGGCAAGGGGGAAGGGAGCTGAGAAGTAAATGGAGCGGGGAGGGATGGGGCTGGGGAAGGTAGGTGAGATGGTGATAGGTGAGTGAGGGTAGGGAGTGATGGGGATTGGTCAGTATGAAGGGTGGGGCAGATAGGTGGGAGGGAAGACGGACAACAACAAAAAAGAAGTGTTAGGGCTCCATTTAACATCTGAAAATCCAGCTTCTATCAGAAGGGGCAGGAAGTAGAGCACTACAAAAATAAGTTTTGATTCAGGAGAAATATCCAAATTCTCCACTCACTTCATGAGTACTGTGGTGTAAGATAAATCAGTGCTCCATGGAATACAAATACACATTAACTACAATGCAAAGCTCTCCTTTCTTTCCTCCAGCATATTGTCGTTACAACGCTCAAATTAGAGAGTTTGTCTCCTTTGCTCCTCCCTTCACTTAACAAGATTCAAGGCACTGGCTTCTCAAAACATGATACAATTTTCTTTTGAAAACAAACTAGTAGAGAGCATTACATAGCTGCAATAAACAGAGAAGACATTAATGTACTTACTTCCTTGCGGTCCATAAAACTTGACTACAAATTCATTCAGTCCACCCAGGATGGTTACTTCATGTTTGCTTTCAATACTGAAAGTAGTGTCAAGGAAAATGCCAAAACCAAAACATATTTCAAAGAACTCACAGGAACTTGATTAAATTAACTAGCACTTTAAGTTGATTACATTACCTGGGGTTCCGTGCAACATTGTCTAATCTGAATATTGCAAAACCACTGGGAACCTCAAGTGCAAAGAAAATATGCTCTTCAACATGAAAATTTATTAGTTTTGTTCTGAATGATATTTTGTTAAGCCAGCATATCATACCCAAACAGCCTTCTTAAAAATCAAGCTAAGAATAAAGAATTAAACTGGGTAACCTCGAATTGACCTCAACATGAAACGCAACATGTCCAGTCAACCATGCAAAGCCATCCTCAATAAAATCTGGTAACTTCTGCCAAAGTAAGAAAGCTAACCAGCAAATTAATCAGCCAATAGACTGCTACAGAGATACTCAACACACTCACCTTTGATTTGATTTTTGTCAGTGTATTGAATGTAGGAGCTGGAAGGTTATGCTGCAGCTGTAAGGGACATTGGTTAGGCCACTTTTGGAATACAATGTGCATTTCTGGTCTCCCTGCTATAGGAAGGATGTTGTGAAACTTGAAAGGGTTCAGAAAAGATTTACAAGGATATTGTAAAGGACTTGAGCTACAGGCAGCCTGTCACAGATGCATTTGCCCATTACAATAACAATCGGAATGACCAATGCAGAGTTCCTCGTGGAGATAAGTCCTGTCTTCAAACCGAGAATATCATGTTCTGTGGCACTACTACTTTGCTAAATGTTTTACCTATTAGGTCTGTTCCAGGGAATCCACTAAATATCCATCAGTAGAATTCTATTCAAAACTCTAACCATATGGTCCAAATATCCCTCCCTCTACCAATAACCCAAGGGACTAATTCTGATCCAACAAGATAGGATAACAAGCCATGAACAGAACCATGCACGCCTAAAATTGAGGTGTCGATCTGGCAAAGTTAAAATACATCACTAACATGCATGGTGAATAATGAAAGCAGAATGCAATATACAAAGCTAAACAGTCCCATAAGTCAATGGATCAGATCAAAGTTCTGCAATCCTGTTACATTCAGACTTGAATGATGGTGGACAATTTACAAACAACTAACCAGAGGAAATAGTTCTACAAACATTCCCTCCTTAATGATGCATGAAGCCCAGTACATCAGTGAAAAAGATAAGGCTGAAACATATGCAAACCACCTTCAACAAATGTGCCTTGTGTACAATCCATTTTGGCCTCCTCCGTATGTCCTCAGGATCACAGATGCCAGTCTTCAGCCAATTAAAATCACCACATAGGATATCAAGAAACAGGAAAAGCTATGGACCCTGACACCAGTTCAGCATTAGGTCTGAGAATCTGTGCTCAGAATTAGACACCTCTAACTGAGCTGTTATAGCACAGCTACCATACTGGCACTTGCCTGACAATGTGGGGAAAAAAGGTCAACGCATGCCCTGCCCATAAAATGGAAAAATCCAATTTGATCAATCACTGCCCCTTCAGTCTATTTGCAAAATGATGGAATCTGCCGCTGACTGTGCTATCAAATGGCCTTTACTCAGTAATAATCCGCTCACTGATGCTCAATTTGGATTCTACCAAAGCCATTCAGCTCCTTATAACTTTGGTCCAAACACAGACAAGAGTTGAATTTCAGGAGCACCACGAGGGAACTTGCCCTTAACATCAAATTACTATCTGATTGAATTTGAGGTCAAAGACTCCTAGCAAAATTGAAGTCAACAGAAATCAGGGTGAACTCTACTGATTGAACTGTTACCTAGCACAAGTAATTCACCTCATCCAGCAACACTAACAACCACTTCTCCTTAACAGCCCCTCTCCTCTTCCCCTTCCTTTATCTAAAGGCACAAATCAGGACTGCAATGGAATACCCTCCACTTACCTTACCCACAATATGAAAACATTCACTCCACTGGTGCACAGTTGCAACTGTATGCATCACATACAAGCTGCAATACAGAAAGTTGCCAAGTTTCCTTTGACAGCACTTCCCAATCTCTCAACTTTTAACATCTAGGAGGAAGAATGGCAACACACAAAAGAGAACACTACTTGCAAGCTCCCCTTCAAGCCACACAACATAATGATTACGAAGTGTATTGATGCTCCTTCATTAAGGCTGGATCAAAAACCAGAAACTCCTTTATCAGCACTACGGGTGCATCTACATTACATGGACTGCAGCAGTTCAACAAGCCAGCTTACCACTTTCTCAACAGTAATTAGGGGCTGGCAACAAATCCTGGCCTTGCCAGAACACTAATACTGCATAACAAATTTTAAGAAACAGGGCTACAGCCAAAAAGACAGCATTCTTCCCAACTATATCTGCTTCCCCATTTAGCAATACCAAGTCTACTACTAGCATTCACACAGCCCCTTTACTAGCAAAGCAATTCAAGTCATTTCACAAAAGCTGGAGACATCTCTGGCTGATGAGAAGCAGAGCTCTAAAGAAGTCGTCTAGACTCTAAACATTAGCTTGCTCTCTCTCCAAGGATGCTGACTGACCCACTGATCTCCAGCATTTGTTTTCAGTACTGATTCCAGCTTCTGCAGTAATTTGCTCCTACATTGTGGAAAGTTATGCAACAGAAGAAAGGATGGGAAAAGAAAGGAAAGACAGGACAGAAACTGATCGTGCAAGATTTGGAGTTTTCTGCATGTACTTGAAGTTTTAATAATAAAGGCAGCTTCAAGAGAAACAGCCAGTTGAAAAGATTTGATGTGGTGTGATGACTGAAGGTTCTGCCAACAATACAGCTGATGGGGGAAAGACAGAAAACGGAAAATGCATCCTAGTTCCAACTTTCCAACTCTGAAAAGGGGAAGCGCCTGTAGCGTAGAACAGGAGAACAGTCAGTGAGAAACAAGAGCATGTTGGGACTTATAAAAAGATTTTTAGTTCCTCATCATTGTGCTTTATTTTCAAAAAAGGTCAGCAGTGATAAGCACGGTCAGCAAGTTCAAAGTTAATCTGAACCGTTCAACCTTACATAGTTCCGCATTTGAGCTCAATGTCCAGACATGCTCTGAAATAGTATAGTACTGGCCCTCATAAGCCAAATTTTGAAACTGCCTTGGAGAGCATTTGCATTAGAATAATCAAATCTAGTGGCACAAAGTAGTATGAACAAGGGTTTAAATGGTAGATAAGCTGAGGCAAGACAAGTCAGGTAATGTTAGAATTGGAAATAGGTAATCTTACATGACAGCACAGCTGTGTGGTCAGATGCTGATCATGGGATCAAATGAAGCACCAAGGTTGCAAAGAGTTGGTCTGGCCTTGGAGAACTCACAAGAGGGATCATGCTGGTGTTGGGCTTAGAGATAGCAAAGACAAGGATGGAAACTTCAGTAGTTATTGGAAAGTGAGTTGAGATAAGCTGGGACAAGGAAAAATTGGCAAAAATTAACAGGTTCAAGAACACTGGCAGGTAGGATACAAAGGGGACATCTAAAAGGAAGATAACAATGATGTTGTTCATTGTGTTCGTGTGCATTGACAGTAACCTGCCCAGCAACAGTAAGCCAAATGAGGTTGCCAATGAGGTAATTAGCAGTTATTTGAAGGCAATGGAAACTTACCAGTGACAGATGGTAAAACTTGAATTCAATAAATTGATCACTTAACTGACTTAAAAAGCCATCTGATTCACTAATGTCCTTTAGAGAAGGAAGTCTGCAATCCTTACCTCCACTGGTCCACAAGCAACTTCAGATGCATAGCAATGTAACTGCTCTCTGAAATTGCCTGCAAGCCACTCTGCTGTAAAGAAACACTTCAAATCCTTAAGCAAATAATCAAACCAGAGAGACCACCTGGTATCAATTCAGGCCCTGGAAACAACAGCAAGTAGCAGCCTGGTTAACCACAGGTCCTCTTTATCTACACTGCAAGAGCTGTTGCACAGACATCATCTATAGGGTATGATTCCATTAAGTTAGACCATATCCCTGACACCAATCACAATCCTTGGGCATATTCTGTCCCACCAGAAGAACAGACCCAACACAGCTGGCAGCACAGTGTAACGCAGTCAGAAGGAGTTGTCCTGAGAGTTCTCAATATTGACTCTGGACCTCAAGAAATCTTAGAACAGCTACTCAAACACAGGTTAAGAAATCTCATGCTGAATACACCCAACAACCTCTCCATAAATAATAAATCAGTGCTATGTTGAAAATCATTTGGAAGTATTAAGAGTGGCAAGGGAAGAAAATCTATGCTGGGTGGGGGATCTCAACGTCCATCACCAAAAGTAGCTCGCTAGCACCACAGGCCAAGTGCTACAAGACAGAACTGCTCTACTGTCAATGGTAGGTAGTGATGGAACCAACAAGATGGAAAAATTTACTTGACCTCGTCCTCACCAATCTAACTGTCCCAGATGCATCCATCCCTGACAGGGTGAATAAGGGCACACAGTCAGTTTGAGCTAATTTCTCCTGAGTCAGAGGCAGAGTGCATATATCTGGTAATTTTGTTCAAAGTAGGCTTTCAGTGAAGAGAGAAAAATTAAGGTTCATTGCAAGTAGGGATATATACAGAGTTGGGGGAGGGGGCGGCTTTTGAAGGGCAGGGAAGAAATGCTTTTTTCCCTACTTTTTTCAGTAAGTTCAATGGTAAGAAACTGCTATTAGGGATGGTCTTTAAATCAGTAAATTAGAAGATCATATTAAAGTGTAGCCAAATTTGGATTTAACTGAAACACCAGGAATATGGAAAGGTCAGGACCGACAAAGTAGTAAGTAATCCGAACAAAATAAAGTAGAAGGAAAGTAAAGACAAGTTGTGTGCATACAGCTATCTGGAGTGGAATGTATGGTCTGTAATAAGTGGGAAGTCATGGGTCCTACCAGTGTTCTAGATGACCGCATGTGCAGGAAGTGCTGCCATGTGCAAAAACTTGAGCTCGGGTTTCAGAGTTCAAGTGGTGGACAGAGTCACTGGCATATCCAA